GTAAGCCAAGTTGATTAGCCGCTGTATTCAAAATGAACATTTTTTCCGATTATTGATCAGTGAAAAACACTTTACTAGACATGAGTAAAAAATACACGGTACGTAATTACCATTTACCCTTCTGTTTGTAACAACTTAGGCTGATTGGTTATGAGTTTACTTCAAACATCTTAGTAAATTTCAGAACATTAAAACTCAAGCATTCATTCACACTCATATTTGTCTATGGATTATATTTACCAATATTTCACATTGCATTTTGAAAAGTTTGTGTGTTTGAAGGGGTGTCATAAAGGAACAAAGAATCTCTGACTGAAGTGAGTAGTGTGAGCAGGCTTTGCGTATGAATTTAATCGGTTATCTAGATTTTTTCGCTAACAGAGGAAGACAATTGGAAAGCTGGATGTAAAAATCGAGAAAATTCCCGTTGAGTACCATAAACTGAGACAATGTACCCTCGCAACAACAACCTTTTTTAATTGCTGACGATTCCGAATCAATAAATGTGAATGATATATGAACCATGAAAATCTTTGGTATCCGAAGCAACCCTACCTTTTTTCTCATCACTAGTGCCGAATCAAAACTTTAAGTAGCTATTAGTAATTGTTTCTTGATATTGCCGTTAGGCTTTGTTACCATTTAACAACCACGTAATACTGTTGATCGAAGCGATAAAACTAAGAACCAAATCAGTTGATAATCTGACTGCTAACTATTTCCACAAAAATTGTTGTTTCTCTACAGTTTTCTCTATTTAGCACTTACGGTTTCACAAATATTTTCTCCACCAGTTAGTTACTCAGTAAATGCAATGCGACTTTATAAGTTGGATCAGTAATAATAGTGATTTATTCTCAATTGACAGTTTGTTACATGAGGTATGCCAATTTACAGGCAAGATCAAATTGCCACGAAAGATACATTTTTTACTGTAGTAAACCACTCAGCTAGGTTGGTATTTTATGATATATGAATGTAGATGGTTTTAGTAAGAATCGTAGTGTCAGTATCACAGTTGTTGCGCCCTATGAAGGTTGCGTTGCGACGTGCAACTGATGGTCGAGAATAGATCCATTGATGTTGGAAGCTTCTAGAAATCGCAACCTCATATCCCTCTGGATTATCTGAGGCTTTGATGATGGTGCAAGACGAAGCCACCCGTTTCATATCTGTTTTCGGTGGCATATCTCAAGGGGGCTGAAAAAGGGTTCAAGAAAAAGAAAGGACGAAAAGCAGAACAGACAATGTTCATAAAAGAATAGTTAAACCATAACTACTCAGTCTAATTCTCTTTTATTAAGATATTTATTAGGTAAGAGCATTTAAATATGTTAAAGGAAATAAGTATGACACTTAGGAAAAATAATGTATCTTTACCTTTAGAGAGGTGTGGGATCTGAAAGTGAGGGTTACGAGCATAAGGCCATGAATAATAAACAACGAATAATAGGAAAACACAAACCATAAGTTCTGCAATTTAGTTATATTCATATTAATAATAATAGCGTTTCGTATATTCTTGTACCATCTAGATATTAGGCGGTTCATAATAAAGTGCCTCATTGGTGGGCGGGAGTCCAAGGAAAACTTGAGGCTTTTTAAAGTTTAATAACACGGTTATTAGACTTTTGAATCTGATAAAAGTGTCACAGTTACGGATAAGTATTGGCAACCTGCTCCACAATAAACTATACCGCACTGTAAAAAACTTATAACGCATTTGTTTTTGGTGTTTTACGGTAAGCAGTATATATGCGTTGTTTATTAGTCTATAGGCTGGATCGTAGGTCATAGTCGGGCAGGTTGGAAATGAAAGTCCATATATTGCTTTGTGGAGAAATATTAGATTATTCCTTACTTGACGGTGCCATAAAGGTTCTAAAAAGAGGTTATTTCATCTATCTGTGTGATCGAGAGTGGAGTCGTTTCTTAGCAGTTGGCGCCTTTGGATATCTTCTACTCTTATCTTGTATGTGGTACTCATATTAGAGAAGATAAAAGAACAGTATTCAAGGGAGGGCCATACACATTTTGTAGAGAGTAAGCTTAGTGTCTGTTGTGAAGAAATGTTTCGTTATAAAACCAATTGGCTGTCTAAATTCAGAAATAATAGAGGAGGCATTTTCTTCAAAGTTTAGGCTTTCTGTGTAATTATTTCCTAAATCATGTACTGATTAGGGTGTCTGGACTCTACATTCATTTATGTAAAGTTACAGTTCATAGGGATGCCTTCCAAAGTGCATGATCCCGCACTTATTGGGGTTAAATGGTAATTGCCATTTTTCGCTCCAGATTGAGGTCATTTTGAATCAGGGATACACTTACACTTAGTGTCTCAGGCTTATGGCTGTATGTTATTTTGAGATCATCACCACATAATTATGGTTTCCCGAATTTAATGGTGTTAGATATATCATGAGTGGATACTCTGTGTGAAACATTCCCTGTAACAGTCGGTCAGCTTAGATCAAACGCTTCTTGACATATCGGTATATCTGTAGAATTATGGTCTACTATGATATTAGTACTGCGCTAATAATGGAACTAATCCCAAAATTGTAGACTTGTCATGATATAACTGCCTAATCTATAAGATCTTACGTAGAAGTCATACCATCGTCTACACCAACTCATCGTATCGTAACAATCACCAGTCCATGATGTAGAACAAGCTTAGGTTAGAGATAGGACAATATATTTAATATGAATTAAGGATATGAGGGAACATTCAGCAGGGACCACACCTGCATGGCCGAGCTATGCCATCGAATCAACTCCAATTAATTAAATTCCCTGTTCCCGCCTTCTCCATCGTTGGTTATTTCTCCGCGTTAAATATTGAATATCCATTTTCCGAGTAGTCTCGTGTCCAACTTTGAGGATTGTGTGGTTATGGTCCAATGCCACTACATATCTTTGCATTCATTCATTCTCGACTTCTGATTTAACTGGTTTGTTATACTTCGATTATAAAGGTGTTAAGTGTAAAGACGTCAAGCTCCGAATACATATAAATTATTTACAACGACGAGAGCAAATCTTCAACACGCCTTATGGCCATGAGAGTGTTGGATGCTAACAATGGGCGACTACTGGGATAAAGTGAGGCACATTATTCAGGAAGCTAATCTGCAAAACGTACCTCAAGCGAAATAAACCCATGCGAAAAGATCTTGGCCTAAACGAGGCACAGAACTATCGGTAAGACACAGTCTGCTATAGACCAGAGGTATGACTGTCAGTACTATAACGAGAAACGGAAATGAATACGTGGGAAAGTAACTTCCTTCATAATGCGCAGCTCATGTTCGGGACAAAAAAGTCCTACACGTTTTCAAGGAACAGTTGGACAGCTTGTCGAAGCCTAAAATAAAAGGTCAGTGTTATATCCCTCGAATTCACGAAAGCGTTTCAGGTGGTATTGCGCACAATTCCTATAGCGAAGATAGAACTGTGGGTTTTACTGACTTACCAAGACCACCTAGAAGTCAGGATGCTCCGCACTAAGGTAAATAGATTTCGCAGGTGCCGGAGGGTTAAACACCAGAAGTTCCACAGGGGACCAACTTAAGAATACTTCTCTTCTGAATATTTTCCAATGACCTTCTAGGTAATATTAGTTCAGATGTAGTAATATATGATGGCGGATCAAGGATATTGAAGTCCATAAGAAACCAGAAACATTCGCCTGAGCTCCGGAAGGACTGCTAAGTAGAAGAACAGGTAGTAGACAGTGATTCACAAGCTAACCTTTCAAAATGTCATGACATTAAGTCCGTGGGACACAAATAACTTGCATCTACTAAAATCCGTTCCTGACTGTCTCCTCAGAGCAAGATCAATTGCTAGTAATCACAAAGAGATTAAATACTTGTCAAAACTACTATGAGGAAGCAGTAAAGCAAATGCAACTTCCTCATGCAAAGATAACTTGGCGTAATCACTCCAGAAGTGTTTCTGACACTTTAAAGTATACTCATGATCTCACGCTGCTGTCCACAACATTTTTTAAACACAGAGACGGGTGACTGAGTAGATGATACAACTAAGAAACAAGTCTTACGAAATACGCTTCGAAAATTGAAGTTATTCATACAATAGAAGAAGCGATCTGATAATAATCCACGACATACTAAGTACGTCAAGTCACCCGAACATTTTCCTAGAGGCACCCTAAAAACATTGCAGATGAAAGAGGAAAAAATTCAGGTATGCCCCCCCCATCATAAAGAGTAGCCCCCATTTAGAATGGTCTCCCAGCCGAGGTGCACACGGCAGCTTCTGTTGACAGCTAGCTTCGAGAGGAAACCTGACTAACACTTACTTTATCATTGATCACCATCTGCCGTTTGGTCTAGTCGTGTTTTAAGAATGTTACGTAAATTACTTTTGTCATTATCATATATCATCAACTCATTCTTACATCAGTTTCTATCATATACGCTTTCCTTTTTAAGCTTAAATTATTATCTACTCACACTACACCACTAATCAATTGACTTGTTTATTAATTTATCTTTTGAAACAATAGTCTTCTCTTAGTACTCTAATTCTTGCCTTGAAATGTTTCACATTAAGGCCAACTAGTAAACTTTCTGGCGGGTGACAGCTGCTTGTTAAAAAACTTCACTGCTCTAACACGAATGCAATCACTCAGATTACAAGATATGCAAGCCTATAAATAACTAAAAAGCCAAATAGGATTAGTGAAATAAATTGGCTAAACGTCGCCTATTAGACATCGTAAAAGAAGCGAAACCATGCCGAAACAACAAAAAACAAGCGTTAATATGTCGGTCAATGAAAGATCGTCCAAAGGATATTGGATACATTTGATAAAGTTTAATTACTGGCTTTCTTCAAGGTTCTCATCATCAAGTTTTTGGAAAGGACCAGGTGATTCACTATAAATAAATGTACTGAAAATTATCATCCGAAAGACAAATTTTATTTTCAAAGCTACCTACAGTTTCATTGTGGATATCTGGTGATTAGTGTTTGAAATCACCAGTTTCACTAACATTCAACCTTCAAAACTTTCCTTAATTACAAAGTCATGGCTGACATCTTGTTCGTTAGTAATCTAGCCGTGAAAGCCGGGAAGGTACGCTACTCTTATACTTATTTCTAAAACAAAAAGATGATTGAAGCTGGCTTCTCAAAAAGTATTCCGTATGACAAGAAAGAATCATATGCTGACTTGGTAACTGAAGTGGATAAAGCTGTCGAGAATTATATCTGTCAAGAAATCCTTTCATCGTTCCCTACTCACAAGTAAAAGTGTTTATTTCATTCCGTCTTATATTTAGAATTATTGCAGAGGAAGGGTATTCTGGAAACGCCGAGCTTACTTGTTCGCCTACATGGATAATCGACCCGATTGATGGAACCTCAAACTTTGTTAGCAGGTAATATCACCTTCAAGTAATTCCCAGGTTCCCTTTTGTTTGCGTTTCAATTGCTTACTATGTTAACAAAGAGGTTAGTTAATCTACATGCTTTTTCAGATTCACAGCCCGAGCTAGCTGTTGTTTATAATCCGATATTGAAATGGCTGTTTCATGGAATTCGTAATCAAGGAGCATTTCTGAATGACAAACAAATTCATACATCAAAACTTCAGGGTAAGAGTATGTTTCAGTGGAAGTTGTCAGTAACAGCAAGTATCTGTATTGAATGAGTACGAATGTAGTTGTCAAGTGACTCTCGATATGATCCTTCATTGTCAGATAGTAAATGTATCACTCGATATATACAGGCACCCTCGTTATTCAGTATGAGTCAATGGGAGATTTTTAGACTCAGGAAAGCTGAATCAAGGACTAGAACCACTTTGAATCTTGAATACATCAAGATATAAATTATATCTACCTTTCAGATCATATTGTGTTCACATGGAATATGGTGGAATATTATTTCAGAATGACAAGTGTTTATATATTTGATCGCGAAAAGATCACGGTAAATCATGCCACTGTATCTTACCTGACAAAGACATCCAACAATGGTTGAGATATAATGTAGAAAATAATGTATAAAACAATGTGAATATCTGGCTCAACGCAGACGGGTTGTCTGTGAAACTTATTTTTCTTGACTATCACAAAAGAGTACCAATGCGACCCTTGATACCATTAATATGTATGAATTCTCGGTGGTATGACGTCTTTTGAAGCAAGTTTTTGATAGGCTTCTTTTTTTTAGATCTGTCTCAGGCTTTGGTTTTGACCGACTGGGGAGGTGACCGAAATCCAAGTGTTTTAGATATTAAGTCAAACAATATTCGCCAAATAATATCGAAAGCTCGTGGGTAAGCCGTCCGTCTTATGACGAATTTTTTGATACTTAATCATTTTTTGTTGTATCGAGACTGTAAATTATGGACGAACCACTCAGATTTAGGATAACAGGTCTCGGATTTTGGCGCAGACTTCATTCGCCCATTTGTCTCAATAGCGTTTTTGCATTTTAGCTGATCTCAGTTCGTGATGAAAACCGTAAATCTAATTCCTAATCATAACTATCAATTGTACATCGTAATCCTTATTCTTCACACTGCTTTATAATCATCATTTAGCACTAGTATGTAGCCGAACATTCCCAAGTTCATTTTAGCACCGCCCAAAAGTCTATAAATTAGTCTCACCGTCGTTGATAACTTAGGTTGGAACAAGTTAAAATAACACAACTATGTTAGTGCTTTGTCTTTAAATCGTAGACAGCTTTCATTTATACTTATTAATGTTCTGTCTAGTGATAACAATTTTTGGCGAGAATATAATTTATGGATGAATCGATCAGATATAAGATGATGAGTCTTGGGTTTTGGCGCAAAATTCATTCATACATTTGACTAAGTAGCGTTCTGTATTTTAGCTGATGTCAGTTCGTGACTGAAGCCGTAAATGTAATAACTAGCCCTAACCATCAACTCTGGATCGTAATTCTAATTCTTCACACTGTTTTGTAACCCTCATTTAGTCCTAGTTATTAGGTGGACATCTTCAAGGTCACTTTAGCGTATCACACAGGTCGTTCATAATTTATAAATTCACCTAATTTTCTAGTATTTCTAAATCTCATTTCTTGATACTCGTTATGAAGCAAGATAATAGTGATAACCCTAACGACAACATCGATACCGTACATAACGACTCTATTTTAGGCCGAGATACACCAAATGTTGAATCTTGTTCACAAAGACTTATTAGGAAAAACCAAAGATTGATTTGTATCAAAGTCAATCCAGTAATTTATTAATTTAATGATTATTCAGTGACCATTAACTGAGTAATTATCACTAAATACAAAACCAGTTAAGTAATCTGTACAGGGAAATGTATTTAAAATCAAATGAGTAACTACATCTTAAATTTAATAAATAGAATTTCCTACGAATAATTTGATATGACTTAACAGTGTTGACTAAAGATCGCTTTAGTTTTACTTGCGAAATGAAGGTAGGTTTTCTTTCTCATACGCTGTATTCGGGCAAATAGAATCCCCAATGATTATCTATAAATTTGAGTAGTCTAAAATGTGACTAGTGCACTTTCCTGTGGCTTTGATATAGTTTGCCAGTTTTCAGCAGATTCACACAACTTCTACTCAAGCAATAATTCAGTCATCCGCTTCTTTATGCATTACTGCTCTGTAGTTGGTGGAGCAACTAGACTTAAGCACTTCAATAATTGATGCTGAGACTAAATAGTCTCAGATATACAAATGGTTATAGTGATAAGTTCATTTTACTCTGCATTTTCCTTCCTGATTGGTTTTAATCTCAGCAAAGCATGTGTAGTTGTTGCAGTAATGTCCACCAAATATGCTAAATGAGGTTTCGTGTTAGTACTAAAAATAGGTGTTAATTGGCTAGAAATGTTGCAGAGGGAAAACACTAGGAAACATAAAGTAGGTAGGTATTGCAAACCATAGCTTGAAATAAATATACAAAATCACAGTCTTGATAAATGTAAACAGTAAAGGTATAAATAAAACAATTTTTGTCATAGTTAATCGATACGACATACTGAGTGTAGTCAAGTACTGATTCACTAATATCATTATTCAAGTAATTTGAAGTATCTATCTTATGAATCACTGAATTCGAACTTTCTGGAGATCGAAGTACTGACCATACGGGCAACTAAAATAAACAATTCACACCCAACTGATAACAAATCCAAACAATCTCGAATAATTGACCATTATCAAAATGAAACTGTGTGGTCCAAATAATGATTATCAAAAGATAATATACTCATCAGTTATAAATTTATGCTGTTTTCATAGTCATTAGGGACTTATGCTTACCAGTCTTTATAATGTTCATATTATACTATCATTGTTCACAATCATTTAAGTTGTATGAACATAAAAATCAGTAGTATAACAAACGTTTTTTTAGAGTATTACCCTAAATGCCACCATCAGTGACAGAAGTTAAATTGTTCAGTCTTGAATTACTATCGGTTTATGCTTTCCGGCTATCAAGCAGATTTCTTCTAGAATATAGTGGTATCATATCTGACTTTAACTTATTCAACTACATTGAGTGTTGTTTCGTCCAGTTACATTAAATTGATTCTAGAACAACGTTTTTGATATAAGCCACCAAAAAATGAACTGTTTGAGACGAAAAACGATATTGCTAATCGGTAAAAGAGATTATAAGAAGTAAGAAATGACGAAGTCCAAGTAAAAATAAAAAAGTTTTCATTCTGTTCGAAGCCGTATTTAAATTTTAAGGATAATAGATGTAGGATTTAATTTGTCCTACAGATATTCTACTAGAGCTGTAAACGCGATACTGGCGACCCCAGAGTCTATGTGAAAGCTATAGTCAGAACACGGACAACGTTATGTTTCTAAATGTAAAAATAATCCGATTAGTATAATAATTAAAGGAATTATAGTCATTAAGTGAAACACCTAAACATGCCGACTAGTATTGCGTGCCTTATCGAAATGAATAAAAATCATGAGTCACAATAATTTAATAGGATAATAATTTCCTTCATTTCGTAGGTCACATGCAACAGGGATAGTCTACAGACACATTAGGCCAGATAGGCATTTAAGCAAAAAATTGATTGGTTGGTCATGGATATAACTAACAACAGAGTTGTCACCAGGGTCTATTCTAATTCATGCTCGACATTCTAATTTCTTGATCAAGGTCCCAGGAAAAGCGTCAAAAAGTGTAAGTCATACAGACTCCAAATGCTCTCCCTCTCGAAATGCTCGCACATGGCCACGCGTATATAGCCTCTGCCAGGGAAGTCCTACTACTGCCTTCTCGTGGCGGGTGTGTTGTTTACGAAATTGAGAGGACGAAAAGCGAATGCCTGGTGCTTTAACCGAGTTGGTGAAAAGGGAGAGTCTACCTAGGGGAGTTGGGAAACTGATTCAAAACCAATGGTGCACATGGGCTCCAATATCCTGAAGGAACAAATGGTGTATGAACCAATCGTTGGTCACCGGCTACCATGCGACTGCATCTCCTTACGTTGCTCCACTGCCTTGTGGATCAGACCTTCAGGTCGAAGGCTCCGGGTGTGGTCCCCCGAGAGAACCACCTGCTTCAGTTTGAGCACCCGCGCAGTATCACAGCCCTCGCACATATCAAATGAGATTTGTGTGGGGCATATGTATTTGGTGCCTCCTTGTACGAATATCTATGTGTTAAAATAAATAGATAGATAATAACATTTATTCAGTTTTTATCCACGACTATACACTTAGAAATAGCACTTCATCCGCCTGACATTCAAGGGTTAACCTACTATTTGACTCATTAATTACTTTAGTGTCCAGTTAATGTAGTTCTGTTTGCTGAAGATGCCGACAATATATGGTGTTCTGAACAGTTTGAGTAACAATACATGAATGCTTGAGACGGGTCACTTTACTTCTTAGTGCAAACTGTTTCAGGACCGCTCTGCATCCAACCCTAGTGTGACCATCGGGTGAAGAGTAAGCAAATTTAGATTGGCTTTCGCACCTATGGGGTAGGAGAGATGCCTATCTACTTGTTAAGGGGCGAGTATACTATGTAGCAGTTTGCTGGGTTTTACTCTATGATTATGAAGTATGGCTTTCAAGAGTAGAATACGTTTCTACACTACTAATATTCGATCATAGAGGTCTTCGTGTGTGGTAAAACAACTCACTAAGTAAATATGGCAAGTCAGCTGATGAGGCTGTGAATATTCTACAACTGAGGTGACTAGAATGTGTTACATATGCCAAATCAATGACTACCTCGACACGCGATGTTGTTTGGCGTAGGGGCGATCAAAGCAATACATGCCATCAGCCTACAAAGTCATTGAGTGTTGGTCCGAAGTATGTGAGTAGATACAAAATACGTGGCTGGAATGCGCCTGACAATCGTAATTGGTGGTTGGAGTGGCACATATGGGTTCATTTTTTATCTCGTGTTAATATCATTTCGCGCAAATTGTCATTATTCTTAAGCACGTCCCCTATAGTTAGTCATCTCTCCGTTTATGTAACTTGGAAACGTAGGGCGAGTCAGTTCTTACTCTGGCAATGGCTTACCGACTATATTTCAGAGATATCTTAGAGAATTGGCGAAGTCGTGGTCGTAGAGCAGACATTAAAGGTTCTTTGGAACCAAGAATACTGAGTGGATATTTTGGAGAGGAAACAACTCAAAGAACAGAAACGAGGATAGTTCAGTTGTTTATAGCAACTGTTAAGTAGATGGTTTCCTTACTAATCAGAACTAATAGTTTGCATGAGAAATTTTAAATGGACCAATATTTCAGTAGTTGATGTTGAAACAGAACATCTACTATCCCCGTAAACAGGTTATTTAAGTGGGCCAAATTAATGTCGTAAATAAATGATAAAATTGGTGAGTGACAGCATCCATATTTTTCTAAATGTAAACCAGTTTATTTACCAATGAAATATCTTTCAGTTTGTATCAAAAGTAATTCCCAAGAATAATTTAACTAAATTATGATAAATCGTACTTTTTTGAGAAATCACCGTCCGAATGAACTTGTGCCCAAAATCCACATATAAGTATAAGAAAATAAGCATTTACGGTTGACATGGTATCCTCAAACTAAAGAATGCTGCCCGCTAATAATTCACTGAGAGAATTTTGAGCACTTAAATTTTAACGTGTAATCTATAATTATGTCGATCCTTCGATATACTATTCCACTGAAAATTCATTAACTTATAAGAGATAAAATCACATTTTGTCACTACATAATCCACAGGTATTCAATGAATAAATACCGAATTTGATTTGCCTATGTAATTTTTAACATTACACTAAGAAACTGATATCGTGATTCCTGAGACTTCACGAGTCAAAGATCACAAATGACTAAGAATCACTGATTTAAACTAGATAGCATAAAAGTCTAGATATTTCTAAAATATTCACTGATTAGGTAGTGAGGAATCCTATATTAATTATTTACATATTTACCATCAGTCAGTCATCAATACACTTATTGATACTGCTTTCATCTCTGTGTTTATGTAACTTGGAAACATCGGTGAGCCAGTTCCTACTCAAGTAATGCCTTACTGACTGGATTTAAAAGATTTATTTTCTCGTCGCTTAGAGAATAGGCGAAATCAAGATTATGAGGCAGACACTATAGATCACTAAATGTTCATTGGAACTAAGAATGACAGACAATCAACTTCAATATATTTTTGTGTCTCTCGTCAGTGGGTCCTGCATAGCGACTTACTTTAAAGCTTTTGCAAATTCTTGTCTACTTACAGCTTATACTTTAAACTCATTCCAAATGGGCGATTTGGACTAGAAATCCGCCATAGTTTTACGTGTTTTATGCAATGGCATGAGATCAGAATACATTAGTGAAACATGGAGTACATACAACTTTAAATTTGTCTGATTCAAATAATTCCAATTTTAAGGTTAATACAATGTACCCTTAAACAAACCACTCAGAGTAATCAGTCCCACAAAGCGTTTTAATAACAAATGAACCAATAACAATACTATATGATTTTAGTAGTCAGTCCACTTTATATTAAACAACTTTTAATTCGATCTCATATCCTTTTATAATTGTTTTCGGGATTCCAAATAAATTGATAAATGTACTAGGATGTAACAAAACTATCTATCTGAGACTTTACTTCTAAAACTGCATGGTCCAGGTTTTATAATACTGTTTGTTGTTATTACGCGAAACTCGCAATTCACCCGTTATTGTGTTCTGCGATTTCGTTTCCAAAAATTATGTGGCGTCGGACATGAACAGTGTTTTTTGATTTTGTTTGTAATCTCACTACATTTCTCAAGTTTTTTTTTACTCCCAATGTGCTGTGAGAGACGCAGTATAATCTGGGGTTATTATTTTATTATGAAAGCAATGTACGATGTAAATTTACTCAACTTATAGACAGAACATTTGTTTAGAGTTGCATTGATTTTGGAGTTGCTTCCCAAAATATCGTTTTTACCGAGAATGATCGTGAAAATATATAAATTTAGATGGTTTTGGTGGTAATTGTACTATATCACAAATTTGTCTCAAATAGGGGTTGTTAACCACTGCATTCCTACTTAATGGATCAACGTTATTGTCCTCGACACCAGAATTGATAGTCCTGTATCATGAGTGTGCACTACTGAAAAGTGCTGTGCAGACGACAAAACATTTGTCTAATACTCCATAGCTTTCGACAGTTTTCCAACTGATGTCAGTTCATGATTAAATCTTTTTAATAACCATTTTTGGCAGTAATTTTCGAAATCGCGTTGTAAATACTACATGTGTTTAAGTGGATAAAAACCCAGTATGATGGGATTACACAGTAGTTTTAAAAACATTGCATTAGGTTCGCTTTAGTCTCAGGAACTTGTGTAAACAGTTCTTTGTAGCATACAGGACGTTAAAACTCAATCGAATCTTATGCATAGTGATTTTTGTCACAAATCACGGAAGTTTTTAGAATCATTGAAATATCTTACCATCCTTTATTTACTGTTTTGTTTATATCAGTATTAATTGCCAATATTGCGCCTGTAGTGTGAAATCCAGGAGCTTTTCAAGTTACGAAAGTCTGAAAATCATGTCAGATCATTCAGCTTGATTTTTTTCGAAAATTAGCATTGCCGAAATTAGTTGTTGGTATTTCAAACGTAAAACTATTGTTTGAAAGTTATTTGATTGAGTAATTTTTTATTTTGCAACTTAGAGTGCGCACCATGGGTTCAGCAGCTTTGCATATGTGTCAGATTGCTGCCGGTAATGGTGATATATTTTTCGAATTTGGAATTCACTGTTGGGATTATGCCGCAGCTGTATTGATTGTTCGTGAAGCAGGAGGTTTTTGTTGTAATTTTGACGGTACGTTATGTGGTTTAAAGTTTTTCGTTTCGTTTCTTCAACAAATCAAGCTTATACATTTGTATTATGCCGAAAAATAAGTTTTCAGAATTCGGTAATAAACTACTGTGTAATTAGGCAAATAACTTCCTTTTGTGATTGTAATTATTTGGTGAGAATAAAGAATGTGGATCAGAATTCCAATTCTTAATCCATTGACTTAAGTTACATACGGTGATTGAGTACTAGTTTATTTATCATCGTCTTATGAATGATTTATTGTTTGAAAAGAACTTATTTTTGACAATTAAGTTGTAATTTTGTACATAAACATCTCAACTCTAACAATCACGTTAGTGGTATTCAACTGGTTGTATGGGAGCTCGCTGACAATATTTTGGGTTAATTGCTCCACTGAGTAAAACAAATTTTTTAGTGAATTATGCGCGTTTAATTTGTGTTTTCGGCACGCTACTTGTCTATCCGAATAAGAAATTATTGTTATTCACATAAGGGAAAAGGAAGTCTAGAATTTATGTATTTTCCTGAGTTCCAACATTTTTATTTATATTTCACATGAATATTTAAGTATAATTCGTAATAGTGATGATCACAGTTTAAATCTATGGTGTCTACTTTTATTCCTCCAATTTTTATTCATGAATACTCAGGCTGATAAATCTTTCTGTTTGTAAACGAAAGTGAAATTTCATACGAATTTTCCACTTCTGCCATTTGAGTGACTCATATTGTGATCCTGTCCTGTCTCAAAATTCAAAATTGCTTTCGGTAATAACTAAAGGTAAGGTAAATGAAGGAATTATGAACATGATATGTTCATTGTGTATATCTTAATCCTGGTAAGAAGTATATTAAGTGAACAACACTTCTAGTTTGAGATTTGTTAATGAATAAATTATGATGAAAGCTTCTGGCAAGCTTGCAACAATAATATTGATTTTAAGTCTTAACATTTTTCGTTACGTCCATCTTATACGGTTCCACCATCCGCTGTACAGTGAAAGTCCCAATATTTCCGAATGTTTATCAATCTAATTTGTAAATACTAAATTATAAACGATGTTAATAATAATCATATTTTATAATAATGCATATTTACGTATTGAATGTGTCATTTTTGTTTGTTTCAATATGAAATATTTATCAGCCAAGCAAAATTATGCCGATTGTCAAGGTGTCTTTTGAAACTGTAAGGTTACGCAGCATGTAGTTCCTTTGAATCTCCTCATTTAAACGGAATTCTGACTTGTGACTTAGCTCAATGTAAGTCAGTAACACGTATTTTGTAAAGTCTAGTATCTTGACATTTTGTACGCTAAATGGCATTGACATAATTACCATACGATATCGGATTCGGTAGCTGTACTACCAAAACAATTAACTATGCATTGATGATTTAATATTACTCTTTTCTTAGTTCTATCATGTAAGTGTAAGTAATGACTTAATTTACGTTGTTCCAAAAATGACCGATTGTATATTTCTAGGCTCACTTTTGATGTTAATTACACAAAAATTGTGGAAAATAGTAGTACCTAAATGATTCCTTTTCATTTTGATCTTTAGTACTAATAATTGAACCGAAAGACTTCTTACATGATGAATATGCGAGTCAAAGGTAAACTTTAGAAAGCGACGTCATTTTGTGGTTTCTACAAGTCTACAGGAAAGAATAACTACATTGTAGGAACAATAACTTCTTGTTTAAACCACAAAATCGGATTATTGATAGTGACTGGACGGCTTACTGGTGGTAAACTCAACTTGATCTTATAAATGGTTGGTGATGGAATGTTCATATTTTAATCGAGTTTGTAACAAACGCATATCGATACACTTTATTCGAAAAATATTACAGCTAGTTTCACTTTAGAAAATATTTATTTGTGATGGCTTTGAACACCAATGAATGTATTATCTTTGCAAATTTTTATTTTCTCAAGCTTAGTTGTAATTTGGCGTTTTTAATGGATACAAAGCTATTTCGTTAATTCCACGTTATCATATCCATCCAGTGTTGTAGAGTTCAGTCTGAAATTTCATCTATAAATCTTTGAATACAACCATTCCTTTTATTTCGGTTCTGGTCGTGATAACTTCAACATCAGTTTACATAAATTTATTCAAAAAGGCAACATGGACATCCGGTTGTTACTATCCACCTAGAAAATAAGTTTTATATGTGCAAACTTTTATCCTCCTCCTAATTGCATGTGTCAGTTGTATTTGTGAACGAGCAACCAAACTGAATTACTGTGTCATAACAATTCAGTAATGTTACATATTTTCTTTTTAAATTTTGTTTAGGTAAACCTGTAGATTTAATGGCGAGAAATGTTATATGTGCGGGAACTCCAGAACTAGCTAACGCTCTTATTCCTCTTATTCAACCAGTTGGTTACGCGAGAGACTGATAGAAGAAGCAGAATCACGCAAATATATCTATTGAGGAAAAAGGAGCCAGAGACAATCAAAATTTAGAATTTTTCATTTATTTGTTGATTCTTTTAATCTGTTGGCTAGTTTTTTCCATGTGTTTATTTACGTTCAAAAAGGTTCAATGAAAGTTGTACCTTTGGTCTTAGAAATGCCGTTGTGATTCCTTCTTTACTTCTTCAATGCAGCATTTATTTTCACTTGTATGTGTGTATGTCTATTTATCTATTGAGTGTTTATCGAAAAAAAAGAAATATGTGCATAGATGAAAGAACTCAAAGAGCTGTTATATTACAATAATTAGTAGTGTTTAGTTTTAAATGTTTTTCCCACTTTCCTTTCTACTAAAATCGGATTATTTTTTCTCACAGCTCAGAAGTTGGTTACTATTTTCCTATTGATACACGCCTTTTTCCGTTCCTGTTGAGTTTTTTCTCAAGAAGTGTTTTTTAAAGCGGTCTCCTCTTTGGATGACAAACCAGTCACATTTTAGAATACAACTATGCTTGTTTCTTGTGTTTGACTAGATGGCGTCTCGCTTGAATTTTCAAACAAATTTGGATAAACCATAAGACACTTATGCTTATTATTCAGGCGCTCACAGTAAACCAGGGGTTTATTTCCCTTACTCGATTTATCACTTCACTTTAAGGATTTAGGCAACTTGATCGCGATATCTTTCACCTTCCAAGCATAGTATTTGCCATGGAAACTATAATATCGCCTTTAATGAGCCGTAGTTGGACCTTTTATGAACTGTTTTCGATTCGCCATTTATATATGCATGATGTATAATCTCGTCTACGAAAGTGTGAAGTCAAGTTAGTAGTATGTCTAATTGTTTCCCATGACTGCGTAATGCTTATTACCTTTTTTTAATATCTCTAAACTTTAATAGGGAGAAATCTCAAATTTAGTTCTAAATTATCATTGTTAGGTTTATATTTTGAAGCAGATAGCCATAATGAATATCGGTGCACTCTTTTCACTATACTTCAACTATTGACATTATTAGATTTGTTGTGTAGTAAGCTTGCATGTTTTGATGTGTACTTTAGTGAGTCAGTACGGGTTTATTTAATTCCTATGACTCCCGCATAAGAAGTTCAACCAATAGCCAGTGATATGCATTAGTGTTTCAAAATATGTATATGTTAATCTAATTAGTTTGAGCAGGCTTTAACTATTTTCTGAAGAGAACTCACATGTCATACTAGAGGGTATTAGTAGTCATTAAAAATGTTGTATTAAGGGATTAAATATTTCATTTATTAGAAATTTTATAAATCAGTCAGTGCCCCTTCACTCGAAGAGATTGGAAACTTTCAATCACTTTCTAAAAGAAATGTGCTTTCGAGGCGTGTATTGTCGCCTTGAAAGACCTGCAAAAAAGTAGTGAACGTTGCATCAAACTAGGCAGTAGAGTCAATAGATCACAAAAATCCACAATATTTGCTTAGGTTTTCCACTTACGAAATTCTACAAACATCTCGGGATAAATTTTATGTTAATTTAAATTCGTTAACCTTTGAAAAGTTTTCTGAACGTGGTGCTCATAAGGTAAAATTTTGTTATTCAGTCGAGTCTTACATAAACTAAGTATTGGATAGGGTTAAATATTTAATCTATTCACTATTTAGCTTTCATAGAGAGCTAATCCGGCTCTAAGTGCTTACTTGACATGATTATAAAAAGCTTATCCAATTTTGCTTTTCACTGTCTGGTGCGTAGCAAAACACTGGTAAAACAATGCTTGTCTTGCTATTGAGAGTTGAAAGGAATGAGTCTTTTTCCGCCGGGTCAGTTGACACATGTGTGCGTGCCTGCCTAAGAGCTGTACACTATTTGGAGCAAAGCTAAAATAGATTGAGCTCCTGATTGCTAGGATTGACGTTCGTCTCAGTCCTATATAGGGCTTCTCTGTGCCTAAGTATCCGTGAGTCAAACAATCAATGCATAGAAGCGAACGAGCTCAATAGTTTCTTTTTCAATTTTGGCTTCAAAGTATTTCTTCTGATGTTTTCTATCCTCTTGACAACTTACTTTCAGTGTGTTTTAGTGAAAACAGTTCAAGATAACGAGTCTTAGGTGATTGTATATTCTTTTTGTTCTAATAGTGATGTCTAATGATCACTAAGTCATTTTTTTGTGATTGATTTCACAGCTTGTTACAACCACAAAAATCTTATAAAAATGGTACTGAGACGAACTTCAGAAGTCCCTGTGATAATTTGAAGTATTTGAATTATTATACAAACTAGAAATCTCAGAAACAACACAATTAAGGCCAAATGGAACTAAGTGAGCATAAAGGAACGTATTGTATTTTGAATTCGAAATCGGACAGTCACCGAGTACAAAGGAATTATTGGTTCACACGAATGCCACAATTCCCCATTTATATTAGCGACCAGGAGCTATTATGCTGAAACGCAGCAATTGCGATGAAGGGAAGCTCCTTAAAATTCTGATTATTCACTGTTATCGGCATCTCAAGGTTTGCTAAAAGATGTTATGTTGACGTATCGTATTCCTACTAACATAGGTCCGTACAAATCCACTTATGCAAAGAAATTCGCCATCAAGGCCATGCGGATCACTAAAAGGGAGCTATACAGTGATCGCGATATTTCTCTAGAATCAAAAATTGTTCGAATAGTATAGGTTAAGTGGTCCAGTTCTTGTTACTATAAACGTAGTCATTTTTATGTATAACAAAAGTGCTCAGGTATGTAGAATATCTAGTAACGTCTATGCTGTTGCACTTCAATAATATATTGAACATATTCTACCATTTTAAAATGCTTGACATACAGAGCATTTTAAGCTGAATTAATAATAAATTGGAAAATATATGAAGATCTATTAGTTCTGTACATCTGATTGTTACTCATCTATGATGTATGCTAATTACCAAAAGTTAACAACTAGTTCTAAGTAGTCCAATAAATCGCAGCAAAACAGGTGAATAACGATTTTATTCTCATATCACTTAAACGTCGAATTATTAGATCATAAATTTCCTAAACATAATTGTAAAAATCATTCGATACTCAACTAAAGCCAACATACATCAACAATGGTCTTCATTCAGTGCAGAGATATGAGTGCTCTTTATCTTATCTATATAATCCAACTTCTGGGATGGATGGTAATTTTGATACTTAGCGATTATTGCGAGCTAATAACTCTTCTAGTGTTCTTGAAACCCATAATATTGTAGGCATACATGACCCTGGAATAAACATTCTTTATTAGTATTGTGTTAAAGATACTAACTATTCGATATGTGTGAGTTACATAAACTGAACGCACTAAAAGAAGTAACCATAGGATTTGGTTTTCACCATTCAAATTGTTATTCGCTTTCCAATCACAGGTTTGTACTCATTTTTGGGAAGCTTGGTAGTGTCACTACTAAGTCTTAGGCTCGAACTCGCTCACGTACTTTGTCTAGTTAACCAGGTAGTATCTTTAGCTCTAACAACTAGAGTATAGCTCACACCCAAGTTCACAGTGAATGAAACAGTTGTTTATCCTACCTATTTGTGGGCCATTAACACTATCCATTTAGCTTTCATAATTGTAATTAACGTTACAGGGTACATAAGACGCAACCTTTATCTACACCTTTGAATCCTATGTTTAACGTACTCATTGTCCATTAAAATTCAGGTTCACATATCTTAAATTAGAAGGGAATTAGCCAGATAACATTTAATACTTATAAAATGTACTACTTCACTTAATCCGGGCTTTGGATAAAGGAGGGATGATAAGAAATCAAAATTCATTTTAGATGAATAAAACTTAACACACTATTGAGGTGTATGATAAAATATATCGCTGACTATCGGATAATGCTCTTAAAAACAGTCCATACAGTATGTAGTAAATGATTACCTTGACAAAGTACATGACCGAACATGCTGCATGTCATCGAAAGAAAATTGAATATAAGGAAAATCATATATGTTAAACGAAAATGGATTAACAGTAGCATTAATGACTAAATCTAAAAAAGAAGATTTTGATAGAATGTGGAAATATTATCCCACTCAATGCTACATTATTTAAATATTTTATTTATAAACCATTTTTATGCTTGTGGCTTTCAAACAAATAGGCTTCAAAATTAAGAGTTTGATTTTGATATTATGTGAAACATCATAATCCTACAGATGTTTATGGGAGAGGCGTTAAATTAACTTGGGCAATCAACTGCAATGTACCTTATCCACGTTACCAAAGAAAGAATGGTTGAGACCATCCACTGAGTGAACATAATATAAATGGGATGTGTAAAATATAGATGTCAAAGAGCGATGACTTGTTAAAAGTAAACTTTGTCACAACTACACTTGCTGTCAAGGAATTCGAACCGAGCTTATGATTAAAAAATCGTAGTCAAAATGAACTATTAAGTATCATTGCTTATTTGAATGAAATTGTTACAAAAAATATGAAGCTTTACCTGCTCTTCAACGTTTTCAAATTATCAACTGTAAATTTTTCGCCAGTTGTATCGTTTCGCTGAATTCCCTAATCAGACGAGTAGACAAGAGTCCTATTTCTGGTTTAAAACTATTGCACGGTCTTGTCTGTGAATGACAAATAACTTTTAATCTTCACAAGTCAAGATCAATAACTAAGTTTTTTGTAATATCTACACTTGCCCTTGATTATTCATTAGACGAATAACATACAGACATTTTATTTCAATCGCATATTTGTATTTAAATAAGTTATATTTTTTAATTAGTAATAATACATTTAGTCACATCATTAGATAGAAGTTTGGTCATTTATGTAATATGACAAATAAATCAATCCATCGTAACAAATACATTTTTTACTTGTTAGCTAAACTAAACACAAAGTAATAGTTTCATACAGAATTGGTACACTATACTTTTGCTGCTTACTTATTGTTTCATCCATAAATCAAGATTTTCTCTTATTCGTAAATACCTTATTAATACTAAAGACACTAATTACTATACAATGGGTGGGAGAGATGAAGAAATTTCTGACATTCGACCTAGCTAATTTCATCTGACATCCTTATGGAAGGATCAAGCTATTAAGCGACACAATATATTTTCACATCCATCAGTGTAGCATTAGACTTATGTAGAAATCACACTACATGCGATTTTCAAAGGAAATATCGTTCATTATACAAAGTTTCTGTATGGAAAGCAACTGAATATAGGTTTTTATTATACTTAATTCCTGTAGTTATTTATGATAAGTTACTATTAGCAATGAACAGGGACTTCCAGTGCCTATCTTTGTCAACATATTTATTATCCCACCCAAAGTTACACACCACCTTCATAGCAGTGTTCGCGTTAATCTGAACAACTTATTGAGTTACTACTTATTAGATAATGCTCATAGTTTAAAGCACATTGCTGAAGACGTGATTGAATATGGCAGTCCCGAGTCATTTTATGCCTTTCCTTTTAAATCGTACATGCGGAAAATTAGGCGTTCAGTACAGTGCAGATTTGCGGCGGCTAAAAAAGTTGCCGAATAAGTTTACTTTCAAAGTCTACTGAATCAGGGCAT